TTTAGGCATCCGCGGTCAAGCTAAGAACTGGCATGAGGGTATGAAAACCCTAACCAGGAATCTAGGTCACATAGGTCCCGTTAGGCTCTCAGGATGGTCGTAACCGATGGTTAGAGACACTGAGTGACATGGTTGGGTGTCGTAAACAGTGGCGTTCGTGCATCTTGTCAATTTCCCTGCTTCATTACTCCACTGAACTTTTCAATTTTCTCTTCGATCCTACTTCCGATCTTCTTGTTCTCCTTCTATTGTTCACCCAAATGGACTGCTAAAAGACAGCAACCAAAGGTGTCGCACGGAAATGCATTCTCAATGGTTGTTCAAACTGATACTGAAGGATGTAGATGACTCTCTAGTGTCAATAGACGGTTTTCAAGTTTACCGACAGGAACGTGGGACCGGAGGGGGTGTTGCCACGTTTCCTAGTGTGGCAAGTCCCATGTTATTTTCAGCACTGCTCAAAAGGTATTGAGTGTCTAACTAAACAGTGTCACCCTAGATTTTCACGTTTAACTTACACAATTTTGACTATGTTGTATATAGCCCCCTCCAGTACAGTCCAATCGTGTCGTTTTTCGACCCGCTCATACCTTGTCCCGCTTTTAGATGTTAACCTGCACATAATCGTTGGCGACTTTAACCATTGGGTATGACAGATCTTTGTCACTCTCACACAAGAGGTAATTCTATACTTCACAACCACCCAACCCTTTTTCTTTAGCACTAAAAGCACCTATTTCTTTCAGTGGCCATTGCTTACTCTTAGCTCGACCTAAAGTTTATTCACACTGTGCACATAAATCTTTCTCCCGATCTGAGCGTATCAGATGGCTTTTCCGTAACGTCTCACCTACACGTGTTTCTCTCCTGAATGAATCTCTCAGACAGGCCTCTTTATGGGGATAACTATGAGAGACAGGGGTTTCGACTTTTCACCTAAGGAGTGCACATGTACACACACACACGAGTGCAAATTAACCCGTAAGAACATTCACATCGAACGGAATATGGAACATTTGTGGCATTCGACTTATGTGATACACGTACAGCGGACTTTGAGACAATATGTGCGCACCAGTGAAGTCCGTCGAGTTTCTCCACTTACGCACACACTGATTCTGTAGTTGGCCCGCGTAGGACGGGGTCAGTGGGTGTGTCATGAAACACCATCAGCATATCAGTAGCCTGTTTGTTTCGCCGACTGTTCACCTTGGACACGTGACAACCTCGACAATGTCTGTTCGATAAAGACCACGGAGTGCTTAACCACACGTAGAATATCACTACGCCACCGTTGTCAACGCTTTCAAAAAGTTGCCCGAGTGTGAACAGTTGGATTCGGAAATTCGATAGTTCACTAGAGCAAATAACACCATTCAAGAACCAAAACAAACCGACCGTTCGAGTAAACGATTCGGAAATCCAAACGCTCAGGGTGTGATGAATCAGTTTCCTGTTCAAATTAACAACCACAATTGACAATAAGCTATCGTGTCCAAAAGCGGACCCGTTGGAACAGGGAATACAATCACAAAAACGGAATTATATTACACTTCATTATGGTAAACCGAGCCAATGGTGTGTTACAAACCACGTGGCTATCAACATTATTGAGTGAAAAAAAGAACTGGATTTTTTTTCAACTCAACGAGTTCAATAACACGCGTGTAGCGACACAACACTACTCGACTCAACCACAGATGAAATCCAACCACGGGTCGATCGAAGAGTATTTTTACGACTCCACCAAACAAAGTCAAAGTTTTGTTATGGGAATAGCTTACAAGCTGGTGCTTCTCTTGTCCCATAGGATGTTTACATAGATGAAT